GGATTCTGTAACTTTGTAGATTTACACCTATGTGGATGGTAAGTCCCTATTCCGGAAACATCAATCCAAGCTTGTTGGAATCCCAGTTTCTGGTACGTTTTCCAAACCTTCACAATCAAATCCTATCCAGGTTGCTAAATCTTGGGGTGTCACTACAAAGTTCTAATTCTTTAATTTAAAGAACATTGTATACGCCTGAAACTCATCACTGTCTGTCTCTACAACTTCCAAACTACAAAAAACTCATATATCAAATGCCTATATCCATCATATCTCATACTGACTAAACGGTCCATGTCAAATGATTAATCCAACCATTGATTTCATCACCTAAACCTAAACTTGTTAGAAGTCCTAAATCCAACTTCCAAGGCAAATATCTCTTTTCGACATGTCCTCGTATTATTTTTTATGTCGCCAGTCTCGAAATTGAAGTGCAGATGAGGATGTGCCTTCCTGAGGAACGGTTGTATTTTTTGCCCTCACCATTTTCTTCTTTCCTCTAAAACCTGTATACATTAAAAATCGTCATCATAATCTGCCAAAGACACATAGCCAAATTAAACCTGTTGTTCACACAAAATCCATGTGGATGAATACCAGAAGCTTACTACTGGAAATGAAAGTATTGTTTGATCTTCTGGATTGATGAACAGTCGTAAAATTATGTACAGCATTCTAAAAAATATGTTTTCTTGGTTCTCTGAACAGGATTATGTGAAAACATACAACTAGGATGAATCTTAAATTATTATAACAATCACACACAGTTTGCTTCCGAATTATCCATTTATTAGCTCCGACAGTTATTCTGTGTGCAAATAGATAAGGATTGAATACAGTATATTCATCATTTTACAATTGGCTGTTGATTTTTTTTGTTAAGTTGAATAGTACCTTAGAGATGTCAAACACACAGCTCAAAAGTGGGCTACCAACATTTCCTTGCTAGAATAAAAATAAAGCAATATGAATAATATTCAAACAGTTAGATAGGTTTAGATGATTTTTGATATGTAGATATTCTTTCATATCTCTTTACTTTTTTTATTCCCATTATAGTAGGCAGCCAGAATTATTGAAGCTAAGAAGAAAAATTAGTCATCAAGGGGTAAACATGCAGTTTCAACTGGTACAGGGGCTGAGTGTGGTGACTGCTGAGACTTATGAGGGATTTGATTCATAAAGGGGTATAACATGCAGCCAGAATTATTGAAGCTAACATGTAGTTTCAACTAGTCATCAATTTTTCAACTAGTCATCAGTTTCATGTAGATCAATGAGCTGTGTAGTCAAGGGAAATTCAAGGGGATGCAATGCGCATTTTTGAGGAACAAAACAAAAGGGTATCCCTATAAAAAAATCGACCTACATGAATTTAATGGATGGACTAATCAAAAAGCAAAAAAGCATTTCAAAAGCTGACGAAGTAGCTAATCTCTCTGGCATCAAATGAGAGCAGTTTGACATAGATTCACTGCTATTGAACACAAAAGGTAAGTTTTTTTTTTCCAGAAGTTGTTTTATTTACTAAAGATCCTGCCAGCTTGCAATTCCCCTTTTGTGTGATGCTGTTTGTGGCATTTCATAACCCGTAGACATCAAACAGCATAAAACATTCTCATCAACAATCAGCATTATGAATATCAATACAACCAACAAAAGACAGCTTCATTCACCCATCTACAACCTCCAAAAGCAAAATCCTTCTCACATGTAGCTCAAAATATCACCAGAACTCAATATTACATCCACCAATAATCAAGCAAACATTCTCCGTACAACTTAAAACAAAACCCAAACACCATACTCAATTAATCCATCAGGTTGACCTAACAAATTAAACCATTCTCACCATGTACATTAAGATCGGCAAAACTCACAAGAACCGCAAGATAATGAATGTGGCCTCCACACCTTATCTACTGATTATTTTTCATAGAAAGGAAATGAGAAATCAACACATTGAAGCACGGATACTGGAAGTCTATGGCTTGTTTCCATATCGTGTATTCTTATCCTTGTTTTCGAATCAAATTTGTCTAAATTGTGCTTAAAATCAATTTATACATAGCCTAAAACCAATTTTTCTTTCACGGTAGTTTACACAAACCAGCATGTAAAATAAACTTCATTATCTTTATCAATAGCAGAACACTTCTATTCATAATCACACAAACCAGTCCCACCAAATTGACTGGATTTTATCTCATCAACTCAACTCCATTCAACACATTCATCCAACAAAAAAAAAAATTTCAAAAAAAACTTGAAAAAGGAAAGTGTTGAATTACCAGACGAAGAAGAAGCGCAGAACAGGAGTCCAGAAGAAAAACACCGCGAAGATGAAAAGAGAGCAGTAACGCAGATGAAGACGAGAAGATGGTAATGGCTGCCTGGGTGTTAAAAAATTTTGAAACTTCCCCAAATGTTTAACCTAAAACGCGAAATTTTTTTTTTTTAATTTTTAATACAATTATGGACGGCCGTCCATAAGGGTTGGACGGCCGTCCTTTACAAAAGGGACGACCGTCCAACCCTTATGGACGCCATCCATAACGAATGACGGGCGTCCATTCAGTATGGACGCCCGTCCACAATTAATGGAGCGCCGTCACAATTAATGGACGGCTGTCCACAAGATAGGGACGATCGTCCAGTGTTTAAAAATATTTTTTTTAAGAATTAATTTTGGACGGGCGTCCAAAATTACGGACGCCGGTCCAAAATTAAGGACGGCCGTCCACAATTGGTGGAGGGCGTCCCCATGGAAATTTTTTTTTTTTCATATTTGGGTGAAGGACAGGCGTCCATTATTTGTGGACGCCCGTCCAAAATTAATGGACGGCGGTCCATAATGGATGGACAGCCGTCCCTAAGCTTTTACAAATTTTTTTTTTATTTTAATAGGGACGGGCGTCCATATAATATGGACGCCCGTCCAAAATTAATGGACAGTCGTCCATAATGGATGGACGGCCGTCCCTAAACTTTGACAAACTTTTTTATTTTATTTTAATATGGACGGGCGTCCATATATATGGACAGCCGTCCCTCGCATATGGACGCCCATCCATATTTATGGACGCTCGTCCAAAATTAATGGATGGACAGCTGTCCTAAACTTTTACAAACTTTTTTATTTTATTTTAATAGGGACGGCGTCCATATTATATGGACGCCGTCCCTCGCATATGGACACCTGTCCATATTTGATGGATGGGGTCCATGTGAGTGAACAGTCATCCAAATTTGATGGACGGCCGTTCACTAAAAAAAATTATAAAGAAATGGGAGAACGCGTTCCACGTCGGCCGGTACAAAAATTCGGTGCAAATGTTTCGGTGTCCGTAGTGTTATTGTGGACAGGGCAAAGGAACCTTTAGCAATTGTGCCTGTTTTTGCAGCTTATGAGTGTGCATTTGTGGATTTGCAGGATGGAGAGAGGACAATTTTGTGCCTATTTTTGCAGCTATGGTGTGCATCTGGAAACTGCTCAGTTTTTCAAACCTGATTTGAAATTTGATGTTTCAGTTGTATATCACATTTTCATGTACTGAATTCATGGTTTCTGTTTAAACCATGGAGACTTAATTGATACTGAATTGATGTTAATTATGAATGCTTTCTTTTAAATTATGAAAAATTTCATTTTTAGCCACAACTGAGTATATTGATACTGCTCTGCCAAAACAGGGATAAGTTGGTCACTTGTAACATGAGGGCATAATGTAATTCGCCATAATGATGTGGGTATTTATGTAATTGAATAAGTTGACTAGTGATAAATTAATAAAAAAACTAAGATGTCAAACTTCAAAGGGCATTTTAGTCTTTTCACTATTATAAAACGGAAATCTATAACAGTACAGGACGGAAAGTATCTATTTGTCTTTCTCAAACCTTTTGAGTACCAACTTGTCATTACGAAAATCTTGGGTATGTTTAAGTTGTTCCCCCTACATTTTGCGCTATTTATAAGCCTAATTTCTATCATATTGATTTTATTTTTGTTAGACAAGAGTGCTACGGATCAAATCTAAAAGTTGAGGCCATTGTTTTAAAATCTAACCTGTTATGAGACCCGACAAAGTGATTGGGTCACGAGTTGACCGATCTAATCGGTTGGACCAATGAGTCAGCAACAAAAATATTTTTAAAATTTTAATTAGTCTCTTAAAGTATAGTATATTACAAAAACACCCCTAAAAATTGTAAATTAGTCCCTAAATTTTAATTTATAAATGCCCAACAAAATAATTAATCCTACAATTTTGAAATATTGCAAAGAAAAAAAACCCTAAAAATAACAAGTGGTCCCTATAATTTTGAATATAGCAAAAACCCTCCTGGAACCTAAACCAATCCGAAGAGGTTACCGGTCTAGTCCAGTACGAATTTAAAACAGTGGTCGGACTTGAAAATTGTAAGAATTTTTTTTTTTTTTTTCTAGAAAAGGGCTTAAAAGTATAGAAAAATCTACTTGAAAAACCTTTATGATTATTTGTTTTTTTTTTTTTTTTTTTTAACAAGTTCCTTTTTTTAATTGATTTAGTAAATAACACATCTTATTTACTTTTGTTTCATTTTTATCCGCTTACAAGTTCCATACCATCACTCTAGAAACTCTAATGCTAGGGTTAGAAATTAAATATTAAAAATTACTTTAAACTAACAAATAAATTAATTGATTATATTTTATAAAAATATAATATAATATAATATGTAATTTAAAAAAAAATAGTAAAGATATAATAGTTATTTTAACTTTAAAAAACAATAAATGAAATTTAAAAAAATTAATTTTTTTTTACTCTAGTGCTAGAGTGAAGCCACTCGAGCGTTAGAATAGCTTTTCTTAGCAACTGGAATGAAGAAGGTAAAAGTGGAAAGAAATTAGATGAAAAGTTTTATCTATTAAACTGATTAAGAAGATATTAGATTCCAATTTGAACCTTAAAAAAAGGGGGGGATTTAAGTAATTGTCTCAAGTTTGATTCATGATGTACAGCAATTTGAATAAAAAGCTGAATCCATAGGAGAAAACATGGAAGATTCATTCATACATGAATACAGTGAACTCTAGTTATATATTCCTTAATGAATTTACACTGAAGTTACTCAATTTCATCCCACAACCTACTTTACAAGGAATTTACACAGCCTTACCTGCACTTGCTACTTCCCTCCAAAAAATAAACAAAATCAAAAATTGAAAAAAAAAAAAATGGATGCATTTACGGTGAACAACCAAAATGACCAAAGCCAAGATTTTAAGGGAAGAAATTACCTCTCACCCGTACTACAAACACAAAATTGAGGGTACTAAGCCCGTGCTTCCTTCGATCTTGGAAGCTAAAATCTAAAACATTAACTCCCGATTTTTTGGAAGCAGGGCTTTGAATGTGGCAGATTAATGAGCTAACCCTTCTCTTCCTATGCTTACATTAGACTTGTCAACCATGGAAACATTGTATTGTTGATACACTCTAGCTCGGTTAGCAGCCCACCACTGTTCTGCTTGCTTCTCACTGAATCGCTTTCGACTACATTTGAAGGAATAAACATGCAAAATGTTAATCATCTTAGATACGAAGGATTTGCTAATTCAAAGATAAATTTAACAAGGAAATGTGCTCATTCGATCAGGATCCAACATTAGGTCTGTACCACATACTGAATTACTAGAGATCGGACATAATACCAAGAAACTATGCAATCAGCAAAATGTGCAAAATAAATAAATAGGATGATCAGGGTTCTTTCTATTCTCCGAATCAGCAAAAGTCTGAAAAGGTGCTTGAGAAGGTTAAAAGATGTAAAAAGTTCGGACTTGTTTAGCAAGTAGTTACATTCCTGAAATGCAGAACCTTATTTAATAAAATGCTGCAAATCTCACGTATGATATCATTAAACAAAAACCCTGATCTGCTTTTAGACTTGGGTGGTAAATGATTATGAAATACCTGAAGCGAACACGCTTAAGATCTTTGACACCTCCAGGCAAAGCAACAAGGGTGATATAGACACCAGCCTCATCTTGCTCAACCCATTCATCACCCTGAGTGGGTTCAGCCTTTGTTGTTCTGTTCTTGTTCCTTGTTGCTTCAAAATTTGACAATTCAGTTTGACTTGATGTATGACTATCACCAATGTCCGATCCATTGGAAATGACCAAGCTGTTTGAACCATTTGAAATTGCTCCCTGGAGAGTCATGGGACTGCTCAATTGCTCTAAGACTGCAGAAGAAACATCCCAAGGAGGAGTTGGGCTAGAATAAGAGAAAGAAGGTGAATTGCTGTTTCGTGTCGCTCCAACGGGTAACCTTTCAGCCATGTCCTTCAACTATAAATATCAGATGAGCGAGTTAAACTAGCAATTATCTTTTAATTACATAAAGAAGTTATAAAATATAGAATTATCTGGCATAAAAACAAGTAAATAGGTACTAAAACCCATGAAAGGCTGTGATTAAGGGAGCGACGAAATAAAGCATTATGCATGTTAACATACACATTCATTAATATTATATTTATTAACACAAATGATGATTCTAAAACTGCAAGGAATCACACAGACATACAGATGATGAAGATTGACTTTCTTGTTATATTACAACTGCAGAAGCTCACACAATGCATTAATCAGTTGGTGGAACTTTCTGAAATTTCCTGAATGTGAGTAAAATACAAAGTAACGAAGCCTTGCAGCTTTATCTTGTTATGCCTACAAGTTTTCCAGAGTCCTATCTAAATACCTTGATCATTGGCATATAGAAGTTACTTGGGTATCTACGGAAGTTGGGATAAGTTTTCTTTCTCAATGGTTACATCAAATGATAAACTATGGTAGCAAGAAAGCTGTAATCAAGGGTATTAGTAGAAGGCATTGACGACAAACTCAAGCTGTGAGAAAACCAAACTGTCCCTTTAAAGGAATTACTGTTTCATGACTTCTACTCTTTTACAACAAAAATTTAATTAGTTTACATGCTTATTTCATAACTTTTAGGCTTTCAGTCCTTTCATGAATTATTTTCACCATGAGAAGTAACAAGAGAAATAAACTGAATGAAGTCAATGCACAGAAGATGATTTTGAGAATCCAACAATAGGAACAACAAAAGCAGTCAGCCTGATTTATCTTGGATTGAAAACACTTCAAAACTTTGCTTGACTTTGGAGGGAGATAACTAAAATGCAGGCACACCCTGAGAAACTCTAGACTTATAAAATAAGAACAAACAAGTAAACATTGGTCTCTGTCGTTGGATTGTAGATTACTCTTAGCAAGTTAATTCAACTTTAGGCTTCACTAATCGAATCACTCTCCTCCTCCCAGAAAGAAACCCTCCTAGAGTTTGTAAGTAGAATTTATAAAAGTTCTAGTTTCATCTTATCAACTATTTAACTTACCTGAGCAGTAAGCGACTTAATCACTTCTTTTGCTGCTTTGCATTTTGCAGTCTCTTCTCCAGCCACTGCAATAGCCTCCTTTAGCTGTTTTGTTGTTCTTTCCAGCTCAATTTCTTGAAGTTGTGCTTTACGAGTAAGTTCTTCCACCTACATAGCAGCGGAAATTAGTTTAACACACAAATTTAGCACCTCATGCATGGTGCTCTCCAAAGAAAAACTCATGGTCTTTGAGAACGAGAAATTAGCACACTCCACTTAACCTTACTACAATATAGGGTTTGCATGCTACAAACTTATTGTCCATGATAAGTGAGCGTGTTAAGTAACTAAATAGATTATAAAGATAATCCACAAACCTGAGCCCTCAATTTAACAACTTCTTCACTCAGACCATCATTCGTCATTTTAGCATTGTCTACAATAATTCTTGGCGATGCAAGACCTGAAAGAGTTGGGGTTGGTGTTGTGGCACGGGGTGGACTTGATCGTCTTGAGGTAGGTGATGTTGCTCGAGACATAATTCTTGATCCAGGAAGAGAAGCTGAAAAAAACTTCTTAGTTGACCCAAATACTAGATTAGAAGATTTAGAGTTACTAAGTGCATTGCTCTGTGAAACTCCATTTGGAAGGGGCAAAATCCGTGTGCGATTAAAGTCTGGTTTCTTGTTTCTTTTGGATGATCCACCCTCCACTTCTTTAAAAGGTTCCAGAGAAGAATTCCTTCCAATTTGAGCATGAGATCTTGAAACCAAATTTTCATTCTTTTCAGCAACTTCATTTAATCCCTTATTCATACTTCCTCTTCTACTAAGTGCAGAATGAGATGAAGAGTTGATTTCAGAAGCTTTTGCAAGTTTACTGAAACAAATATCACAAACACGATAAGGTTTGTTGGGATTAGGTGCCATGGAAGCCCTGAGAGACTTCTTACTACTACATGAATGACAATATACAAGTCCACAATTATAACAATTGTGCCGCTTCCTTTTAAAATTGAACAGAAGGCGGCATCCTGAACACATTGATTGGTCAACACCAGAGACCCACTTATGAAGACATATTGCTGCAGTAAAATTAGTTCCACAAACAATACTTTTGACTTGTTTGTCTCTCAAAGCTTCAACCAATGATGGGGAATTTCTATCTTCAGTATCCCCATGACCCAATCGACCATTTGCACCTTTTCCCCAAGTGTAAACTTCAGTTCTTGAGGTTAAGACTGCAACATGATAAGCACCACAAGCTATTTCTTCAACGAAATTCTTCATAAGCTTCCCATCGACACGAGAAGGGAGCTTCCCATCAGCCTTAGGATCACCTAGCTGACCATAAACCGGGCTTCCCATCATGTACACATGGCCTGTAGTTGTCAATGCAGCAGTAAGGCTATGTCCACAGGCAACTTGACAAAAGTTGGGTTCAACAAGAGCAGCGACACAAGTTGGCACCAGTCTAGCTTCTTTGTCACCATGCCCGAGACAACCTTTATCTCCATCTCCCCATGTAAAAAGCTTTCCTGAAGAACAGTTGCTGGAACTTGAAGACCCAACCATTACCTCAACAACAGCAGCAGTGTGCCAAACACCACAAGCTGCTCGCACAGTCCGAAGGCCCTTAAGGGACTCCACTTCCCTTGGTATGGATACACTTCTACGATCCCCATGTCCTAAAACACCAAATGTTCCATCACCAAAAGTAAACAATTGCCCTGCAGAGGTTACAACAGCTGTGTGCCATGGTCCACAAGAAACTGATGAGACATGTATTCCCTCTAGAGGTCCATTTAACTTCTTGGGAACCCATAGACTTGCCTCATTGCCATGGCCAAGGAGCCCAAAATTGCAAGTGCTACCACCCCATGTGTACATATCACCAGATAGGGTAACAGCACAAGAATGGTACTCCCCACATGCCACAAGTTCAACATTGATATTTTTAAGAGAATCTATAAGCTTTGGGTGTGAGACATCTGAGTCTACACCATGTCCAAGTCTGCCTCCAAGTTCCTCCCCCCAAGAGAAAACCTCCCCTTGCTTTGATACTAGAGCAGCATGTCGCCCACCACAAGCTATATTCTGAACATCCAATACTACTGCAGATTCCAAAGCCTTGGGAACAAGAGAATCCATCTTAATACCAGAAGAACTTCCAGCTCTATTTAAACCCCCACCCAATATTCCATCTCCAGTGCCTTCCCCCCAAATGAAAACATCTCCTAAAGAGTCACCATCATCGTGACCAGAGCCTTGACTTGACGAGCTAACAGCACTAGATAAACTAACTCTAAAAGCATCCCCAGTCATTCCCTTTAAGCGAACAGTTCTTCCATCAGAACCTCCAGATGAGAAAGAATTAACAGATCCACAACCTGATTCTGAAGGAAATAAAACCTTGGGAGGCACATCGTATAATATTGCATCAGATAATGCTTTCTCTAAACCCACTTTAGGAGGACTTTCATATGGTGTATGCAGACGTAGGGGATCCAACCCATCCTGTATCAGCAGCAGGAAAATGCTCTCACTAAATATAAAGAAACTTTAGTATGGCAAAAAGAAAAAAGGAGCGAAAAAGAACACCTTCTGAGAACTGCCACCACTACCAAATGGAGAGCTCAAAGGAGAACTCCTCTGAGTGTGAGCTCTGGGACTATTAGCTCCAGATGAAATTCCATCACTTCTGGATTCTGCTCTGCCTCTTCGTTGATGGCTGCGAGATATTACTGCTTTGAGACCAGTAAACCAAACTTCAGCTTCATCTTTATCCTTGCAAATCTAGTATATTAAATAAAGGAAAAATCATTATACAAGCACAAAGAATGAAATCTATAAAAATCAGACACAGCATAAGTTTAGTGAGGAGAAATGCTGAGCGGATTTTCATAAAATGGAGAATAGTTACCAAATCTAAGGATCTATCATTATAGATAAGAGAAAATGACTGATATTCTTTCTCAGGCCGAGGATACCTCTGAAATATGGGCTGCCACAAGAAAAATCAAGATTGATAAGCACATCATCATAGCACTATAAAATTTTAAAATTGCACCATATAAGAAGACCAGAATCAGAATCATTTGTAATAATATGATAGGAACCCACTCCAATAACTCAACAATTGGGCTGGGTCATGGGTCTTTCATGAGCTTGGATAGAACTCTCCTTGAAAAACCGGCTTGCCAAGGGAGGGTGCCCAAGCCTTTATAACCCACATGCCTACCATTTTCCCTCTCAATGTGAGATCCTAACATTCCCCTACGGTTCGAGACGCAACACCCTCGTTGGTCTTCTTTCTAAAAAGTGCTCGCCCTCATCGGCTACCCCGCCCTCATTGGCCTTTACTGCCCTCCCTTCAGGTTTTACTTTGCCTAGAAGACTGACAGGCCCTAGAACCCTATCAGCAACTCTCCTTCTTGGCCCCTTTGGGGGCCCACTGGGCCCTGTTGTGCAGGCTCCACGTCGGCCTCTTTACCCCTTGGGTGACTTTGCGGATCCCCTTTCCTTGGGGTAACAACCCGGGCCCAAGGTCAGCCTGCCACGCGTGCATAAGATCATGCTCTGATACCAATTGATAGGAACCCACTCCAATAACTCAACAATTGAGTTGGGCCATGGGTCTTTCATGAGCTTGGATAGAACTCTCCTTGGAAATCTGGCTTGCCAAGGGAGGGTGCTCAAGCCTTTTATAACCCACATGCCCACCATTTTCCCTCTCAATGTGGGATCCTAATATAATATAATTTTATAAACAACTATTTCAGTGTGCATTGAAGATAGCTCAAGTAGACATCAGAAACAGATTATTTGAAGCATCAAATATAGCACACCAAAGAGAAGTCATTAAGTAGAAGATAAAAATTTACAACATAAGTAAAGCTGACCGTTAATTGTATTTTTCAGTTTTAATCTGCATAAGCAGCATAAAAAGTAGTCATCATATCATACAAAGTTGATATCTAAAATTGACACTGACACGTGAAATAACAATAAGCCTCAGCATCAATACTTTATTGAATTAGATTCTTCAGATATTGATACGAAAGAAAAAAAAATGGCCATAAGGTCGAGTGAAAAAAATCAAAAGTTGCTACAATAACATTAAGTAAAACAATATGCAGAAGACATTTCAAAGCTCTCATTTTGAGTGAGTCACTCAGCAATAGGAAGAACTATTCATAGCTAAATTGAGTGGAAAGCAGGGATGGAGTACTGTGAAGGAATCTAAACTCTTTTTTAATAGCCAAAGATGTTAAAACCATTAACCATCTGAAAACCAGATTAGTTCATACAAGTGATATTACCAAAAGTTAAACTCTATGAAAGATATGTAACTTTTATGTTCACCAAAGCTACCAAATGCATTGATTGTTCCTCTCATTCAAAAGTAGCTGTCAACAAAATATGGCTCACACAAGAGGCATAGGAGACCAGAATCCATATAAACTTACTGTGCGCTGACCAGGTATAATTCTGGAGACATGGCTTAGTTTAAGGTGTTTCTCTTCTTTGCCTGAGATCCATATCAGAACAGATTCATCCTGAACATAGCAAAAGCAAATAAGATACAGCACAGAAAACTTTAACACATATAACTTACATCACAAGTGCCAAAATAAAAGCAATTGCATGCCCCCATCTGATATTACTCATTAACATAAAAGTATTAAATGCCTTAAACCATTCATGAAAAAGGGGGAGTTTTGAAGTTTGGAAAAACTTATATTAGAATATTTAGAACTTACAAGACTTGTCATATATAGAGAATACAACATCACTTGCACACACATGCAGTCATCCGTACAGATAGACACACACACATGCAGTCATCCGTACAGATAGACACACACACATACATGCATCCACACAAGATGATCCTAGAAACTTTGACAGAAAATGTGCTACTATCTTCCACAAATGGAAGATCCATAGACCAGGACAGGTAGCAAATAATTTTTAAAGGCCAATCTAGAGGTCCAAATAGCATGTTCACAAATAAGGCCTTGCACAAAATATGGCAATTCTTCTATGTTTTTTCTTTCATTCTAGTATTCTTCTGTGTGATTACAATAAATATCAGTGTCAATTTTCACATTTCTTGCTCAATTTTTAACCTCTAAAGAAGCAGAAGTTGTAGACAAGGGTATCTCGCATCCAATCAAGCTTTGCACCAGGACATGACAGAATAATCACCTAAAGATCAAAGGGAAACCCAGCAGCTAACTGAAAACTCCCGCAAAGATTTCTCCAAGTTCCATATGGCTATAGGTTCACCTACGAATCATTAAAGTGCCTTGTAGAGTGATAATTGCATAATCAAGAAGGCCTTGGCATGAAAATTATTTTGGCTTTCATAGCCCAAAAATCACTTGGTGTGTGCACAGGGTTAGAAATGGGGGAAAACTACCAAAACCTAAAACCTTGCTAATTAAGAAACCTGTGAGCCTCTAATGTTCTAGGTAGGTAGCTCCAAGAGGATTTAAACCTCAAACCCTTGCCATAAACTTGATCCTTTTTCAGCCGGCAGCCTTTGAATTCCTTTATTTTCAGAATTCGGAATCCTTTCTTTCAAGTACAATTTTAATATCCACAGATGGAAGACATGTTAAGTGTAGATGCAAGGCTTTTATTTCTTTTCTTATTTCACTTATTTTTTTATTTCCTTATTTCAATAGGTTCTGGGTTTCTTTCAGTTAGAGCTTGGCCACTATAAACAGGACTTATGTTTGTTTTGAGACATAAACTTGTTTGACTTGAAATTATGATATTATATTGATTACAAAGAGGTTGTTCAACAAAGTTTTTCTTTGCTCTTCAATACCACATTTGGTGAGACCACCAAACAATATGCAGATTAAAGCCATCACATCAATCCTTATATATGTATATACTTTCCAGAGTAAAACAGCAAAACCAATCAATAAGCTTATCTGAAATTTATGCAATGATCTACATAATATGGATGCACCAACAACATTTTGATATACAATGTGCTAAAAATCCTATAGAAAGATGAACATAAAACTACGTAATTCTTTTGATAGGACTAATACAGTATACATAATCTGATTTTTGTTTGATTGGCTGTCATATTAGAAATTAAGACAAGTAAAATTAAACTCATGAAACTCCAATATACTCAGTCTTACATTGGCCAGTCTGAAGGGACAAAACTTTGGCTTCCCTCTACGCCCATACTTTAGCAAATGTGCCCCTTTTTTAAGAGCAGTGATGGCCTGTTGAAAAATGATGAGTCATCAAACAAACTAAGCACAGTACAAACTGACTTTTAGAAGGAAAAGAAAAACAAATATTGTTATATATACGATAAGAAGCATTTATACTTAATACAAAGAAATTACAAGATTGTAGGCAAAAAAAGGAAAACAACCCAACTAAATGAATATCAGACATTTATATGTAAAGAAGTCTTTCAAATAAACAAGTAATAGAAAAACATTTAAAGATGAAAAGACTTTTAGTTATCATTTCCTAAAATAATATTTGCACATTATGTTTACGAGAGACGGGAATACTAAAAGTTGAACGTGATATAATACACTGTACCAAAAAATAGAATTACTCATCACCCAATCATTTGATTAAAATTTGCTTCCAACATAATTACTTTTCAAAGAGATGTCCAATTTACTGTAAACTTTATTAGTCTAGTTCTAATGTATCTTTTATCTACTTAAAATCAAGTCTTAATTAGCAATGATGTTACTAAAACCCTTTACTTAAATGGTATTAGAGAAAGGCATGGACCATCTGTTTCATGTGCTTCCCCTTCTAGGCAGTACTGCCATATGCTCCCAATATCTGTCTCAAGACATCATATATGGATTAAAATGTTTCAGTTCTACAAATCTACTCTGAAGTTGAGATACCTCACATTGAATCTATTGAAGTCTTAGTTAGATAGTAGCTCAAGATTCTCATCTTCAAAATTTGCTAAATATACACTTCTATTCTTCCTCCTAAGACAGATTTCTAACACCAATCCTAATTCAAGTAACCTCTGGCATAAAATCTACTGCCTGGTTATCTTTCATCTGAAGGCAATTACCATAAAAATTCATTCTTTTTCACTCAACCATTAATGAATAGCAATATGATTCTAAGCTTATTCTACACACAAGCCACAGATACACAAGAAAATACTGGTAACATAAAACACAGCACTAAAAAACATAGAGTTGTGACCAAGCAGGTTTACATCTTGAGGCTCTTTGCCATTTCCAAACAAAAAAAGAGAAAAAGCACCATGAACTTTCACCAGACATATTTATCACTTCAAATCCAACCCAATTATCAAAACCATCACTTCCACTTACAATTCTCGACCATAACCTTTGCAAAAACAGCTAAAACACAGGATACAACCAATAAAAAATAAATAACAAAAGATAATTCTTACTGAACATAGCAAAAACACTCTAACACTAACAAGCACTTGGGCAATCAACTTTAGATCTCTCTCCTAAACATAAATCTCAAATTAACTCAATCAATAACACAAAACGCAACTTGCCCACGGTAGTTAACAATCCCACATTGTAAAAAACAATTAATCAACTACAGTGGAAACTAAATTAACATTCAAAATAACAAATTACTTCTCAAACATCACAAAGTCAACAACATAACAGAACATCTAAAGCAACAAACTACAGATTAGCAACACTACTGAAACTAAAAGTGTTCGTTCCAGTAACCTTACCTCGAACACCAAAACTCAACTTCAAAGCAACATAGAACTAAATAAAAGAACAAAAACAAAGAAATTACCAACTCAATGTCCCTCTCCACCGTCGCCGCCGCAGTTGCCGCCGACGCCGACGCCGACGCAGCCATCAAACCCTAAAATATCAAACAAAAACATACAGCGGATTGAAACTCCACATTTCTAAAGACTTACTGATTCAGTGGTTTCAGTTTCGAAATCAATGCTCTTGAATCGAGAAAAACAAAGAGGAGTGACAGCTGGAGCAACAGGACAAGAGTAAAAAGGTTAAAATGTGTGATGTGGTCGAAGAAGAATCTTTGCGGAGTGTTTGGTTCGAGGGAAAGAGAAGGAAACTGAGGGAAAGTGAGATGAATATTATTTTATATTATTTATTTTTATTTAAATTTTTTGAAAATTTGAAATTAATAATAGTTAGTAAAGCAGTGAAGAGAGAATCTACAGAGAAAAGTGATTGAAAATGATTGATTCTGTTTCTGTCACGAAATGTGTAGGGTTTAGTTTTGTTTGGACTTTGTTTAGTCAATGGGTTGACTTTCACTGTTCCCATTGGTCTTTTCACCAATCAGTTCACGCCACGCTAGCAAATGAACTGTGACAGCTGTGGCCGCTCTTTGTTTTGTAGTAATTTTTTTTTCATTTCCCAATATTCAGGAATTTTTATTTTAAAGCATTATCATCTAGTTGAAAGTCTTGAAATAATTAGGCTGGGTTTGATAGGCTTTTTATAATAGCATTCAATAATAGAATAGTATTTAATAAAATAAGATAGGATTCTAAGAATGTATTCTGAAAAATATTTTTTGAAAATATTTAGGGGTGCGTTTGGTATATTATTTTTACCTATATTTTCAATCCTATTCCTGAAATATTGTTTGATACATTATTTGAGAAATATTAGTATATATTTTTTAATTACTTTTAGACCCTTTGAGTTTATTAATTTCATTAAATACCCAAAAAAATTTAAAAATTAAAAAAAATACCCGCACCCACCCATACTTGCCAGATTCTGGCAACCACCATCGATGGTTGCCAAAATCTATCACAACGATGAATTAACGATCGGAACTGGCCGTTAATTTACCGATCTGGCCTTTAGTGACAGCCAAAGATATGGTCGTCTTGGTCATCGTTGATCGACAACGACGGCCATATCTTTGGTTGTCGCTGACTGCCAGATCTGGACTTTTGCTGCTGTTGACGGCCAGATCTGGTCTTTTCCGGCCAGATCATGGTGGATCTGGCCGGAAAATGCCATATCGACGCCCTATCCGCCAGATCCGACCGGTTTGCGTCATAACTCCATTTTTAGGCCAAATTTCGATGGTGGTTGCCAGAATCCGGCACTGTGGTGGGTGGGGGTGTTTTTGTCATTTTACAAAATTTTTATATATTATGGTGTTTAGTTAAATTAGCAAACCTAGGGGTTTTTTTGTAAATTTTTAAATTTTACCTCGTAATACTCTCATATTTAACTACCCAATATTATTCTCAAAATCCTATCCAAAATAATAAAACAAACGGACCCTAGATTCTTTTCTAATCTCCTATATTTGTTAATTTAACTAAACACCCCCCACAATAAAAGTTTATAAATTAACAAAAACACCCTCACCCACCCAACTATTGTCAACAGCTAGCCACCAGTGTTGGAAGGTGGATGGAAGTCATTGGAATGGCGCACGACCAGTTGGATCTAGTTGGTAGTGCGTCAATCTAGCATTTTTGGTCCGATTACAGCCAAGATATGGCTATCGTTGATGGCCAGATCCATGGTGGATCTAGCCAGAAATGGACAAATCAGCCCACAGCCGGTTAGATCCAGCCGATCGTGTGTCGCTACAGTGGCTACTAGCGGGTAACAGTGGCTTGGGTGGGTGGGGGTGTTTTTATTAATTTATAAACATTTATTAAAAATAAAAATAATTGTTAAATGTTTTGAATTGAATATAATAAGATTGGATTTTTAGTTGAATAAAAAAGTTAATTATTTTATTGGATTGAATAGGATGGTGAAAAAAAAGGCTTCCAAACAAAGCCTTAATTTCCCGTGAGGTTTGGACAGGGATGGGCGTTTGATCCTCCCTATCGGGGACCCTTCTCGCTCCACCCCGAACAGGACGAGAATTCCCCAAACAATAATGCTACAGACATCGAAGGTTTACACCGAATTTTTGCACTGACAAACGTGTCATCTGAATCAGACGTAGCACACTAACAAGTATTCCGCGAATGAATAGTCATCCATCAAATATGGACAAGTGTCCATGATTATTGAATGACCGTTCATTTTAAATGGACTCCCGTTCATACGAAAATAACAATGAACTCCCGTCCATCTTGAATGGACACTCGTCCATAGTTTAAATTATAAAATTATAAAACAGTAGTAGTGAATGTCTGTCCATATTCAATGGACGGGCATCCCTATTTTATGGACGCCCGTCCATAAAATGCACCATCAAATTCACTCTTGGAATCTTTATTTTTGAGAGATTGTAGAGTCAGATGTCGGTTGACCACATATCTCACCAACACCACATTTGTTTTTTTTTCCATAATCCATAAAAACATGGAGGTTCATTATTTTTTAAAGTAAAAAAGGAACTACCAAATTGATAAACACAATAATATAAATTAACAACTACTAGTTTTGTGGTCACAAGATTTTAGCCACGTGATGGGTTACTTAGAGGTCTTATATTTGAATTTCATAAAGTGATCACCTAGCCTATTGCGGCTTATAGGATATTTAATGGACCATAAGAATTAGTTGTGAGACTTGTAGAGTGTTCAATATATCCCAGGATTAGTTAAGGTGTGCATAAGCTGAACTGGACATCCCAATTATTAAATAAAAAATATATATATTAACTTCATTTGTCCAATTATTGGATTATAATAATCAAATTATAAAATATAAGTTTTTAAGAAAATAGTATTGATTTAAGCATTAGAGGAAGAACAATTGGGTCTACAATTAGTCAAAGTAAGACTTTTGTTTTTCAAATTGTCTTCATTTAACCAGATTTCAAGGAATTGCGTCACCCCAAAACAATTTTTATCTTGAATTTTTTTTTTGATGGTGCATTGTATATGAACGCTCATCCATATAAGATGGACGCGCATCTATTATTTTATTTTTAAAATTTTATGGACGGGCATCCATATAAGGTGGGCGCCCATCCATAATAAATAGACTCCCGTCCATATTATATGAACGAGAGTCAATTGTTAGTTTCATGGACGCTCGTCCATTTGTGATGAGCAGTCGTCAATAAAATATGGATAAGCGTCCATAATTGTTTGACGACCATTCATTCACGGAAGAGGTGTGTTGCCTCCAACGTGGCCACGTCTAACTAGATGCCACGTATGTTGGTACAAAAATTCGATGCAAATCATGGGTGTCTATAGCATTATCGTTCCCCAAAATAGTCAAGCGGGTTGGGGACGAGGGGTAGGCAATTCCCTAATCTCGAAGACGAGGTAGAGATGGGGTGGGCCCCATTCATCTCTGCCTCGTGTAGCCCTACCCTGTAGTCTGTACATTTATTTAAAACTTTATATCTTTTTTCTTTATTAGATTGTATATAAAGTTAGTATTCGATGATTTAAGAATTAAGATTTTAAGTCAATGTATCAAAATTGGTGATTGTTAAATTTATTATTATATATTTTAATTATGAAATAAAAATAACCTAAGATGAAATGTTATGAATTTATACTCTTAGGGGCCGTTTGGATCGGTGGTAAATAAGATAACAGGGGTAATCTTCGATTATTTTGCAAGATTCATGTGTTTGGTTTGTAAGTAATAAAATATTATGGTAATCTTTTATTGCAAATAGTGTTTACTGTTGGTAATTTGGGGGGGTAATCTTATTACCTTGTTATGGGGTGTTATTAAAACATTACCAGGATAATATGATTTTTCTATCCATTTTGCCCTTAATTAAAAACCATTTCGAACACAATTGCTCTCAAATGTCTACCAAATAACAATTATCCAGCTCCCATATATTTGAGAAATTAGTTAAAACACTTCAGGCACAAAAAAATTTAAAAGTTAACAAAATATCCCCAGTCACCCAAAACATCGTCGGTTGTGACTCACCACCATCGGTCGCTAGCGTCAGTCGTCATAATAGTGCACAACCGCGGGATATGGCCGGTCATGCGTCGGTAAAGCCTTTTCTAACCATGGATCACAAATCCATGGCCAAAAATGGCCAGATTTGGTATTTCTATGGTTGTTTCACGACCAAAGATGTGGCAGTGAAACAGCCACGGATCTGGCCATGAAAAGACCAGATCTTTGGCCGTGAAATGGCCATAGATCTGGTTATGGATTTGTGATCCATGGCCATTTCCGACTTTATCGGCACACGATCGACCATATACAGCTAGTGGTGCACCATTCCGTCGATTGTCAGTGGCGGCCGGCGGTGGTGATTGGCTGCTGGTAGTGGCTTAGGGTGGGTGGGGGTGATTTTACTACAAATTAAAGTTTTATATGGCTGAGATGTTTTAGAAAAATTTCAAATGTAAGGGGTTAAAAAATGATTCAAAAAAATAATAATAAAAAATACTATTATATTAATATTTAAAAAGGAGGGCAATTTAGTAATCTATATAACATACTCACTCATTTATCGTCTCAACCAAACATATTATTCATCAATTTATTCAAACCAAACAAACACATTTTCTAAACATTTCTAGTAATCTTCAAGGTGATATTTCTTTTTGTTAATATACATAGCCCTATAATAAAATATTATATGATTCAAACACCCCCTTAGGGTGCGTTTGTTTCACGGAATTCTTAGAATTATCACTAAGATAGATTACCTTGAAGATTAATGGGAGAATGTTAGTCTAATATGTTTGATTAGATTGGTGAGTATAAATAATTAATATGTTTTGTTGGGAGGAATAAAATATTATCGAAGGGTTTTTAATGAATTGCCCTTTCTTGTTAATATTATTATTATTATTATTTTGAACATTTTTTAACTCTCTAGATTTGAGAATTTAGCTAAAACACCCCAACAACAAAAAAGTTTAAAATTTAACAAAATACACCTAGTCACTCAATATTATCGAGGGGTCTGGACCCGCGGTTCAACCAATACCCGAGTAAAAAATATAGGGTACGGGTCTATTACATTGGACCCTTTTTTTGGATCCGTACCCAATCTTAGGGGTGAGCGGTTCCGAGTACCCTTCATTTTCCGGGGGAACCGGAACTAGAACCGCATAGTACAAGTTCCCAAAAAAAGAAACTAGAACCGGAACTGCACAGTGCAGGTTCTTCAATTCAAGGCACCGGAACCTAAAATGCAGGTTCC